ACTTGTATTAATCATCATTAAATGCTGTTGAAATGCAGTACCAAACACATGTGGCTTTTGTATCTTGATTGTGAAGACTTTATTTCTAATTCAATTTCTGTATGTTTCATCTCATTTTTATTGAGGTACAGTTGACAAATACAATCTACACATATTTAATGTGTAAATGTGATATATTGATATGCATGTACATTAAAATAATAAATATCATCAAGGTAATTAGCATATCCATCACTTCAAGCTATCTTTCTGTAGTGGGAAAATTTAAGATCTATTCTTTTAGCCAATTACAAGTATACAACAGTGTGTTATTAACTTTAAAGTCATCATGTTATACATTATATCTCCAGAATGTATTCATTTTACATAACTGAAACTTTGTACCTTTCATCCACATCTTTTCATTTAATTTTCACTGCCATTCCTGACACAACCACAATTCTACTCTCTGATCTTATGAGTTTTATTTTTTAGAGTTCACATTATTATAAGGAAGATCATATATTACTTCACATATATAATGTTTTCAAAGTTTACCCATGTTGTCACAAATGGCATGGTTTCCTTCTTTTGTAGGCAGGATATTATTCAATTGCACACATATGCATACACACATATTTTCTTTATCTATTCTTATCTTGATAAATACAATTGTTTCTATATCTTGGCTATTGTGACTAATGTTGCAATGAATTTAATAGGGTATCAATATATTTGGCATACCAATTTCATTTCCTTTTGATTTATGAGCAGAAGTGGGATTGCTGGTGCATATCTTGTTAATTTTTGAGGAACTTACACATAGTTTTCATAGTAGTTTTTCTAATTTATATTCACACAGGGTGGATCCAAGGGTTCCCTTTTCTCCACAATCTCACTAACATTTATTTTAACTTGTCTTTGTGATAATTGACATTCTAACAGGTATGAGATAATAAGCATTTGTGGCTTTAATTTGAATTTTCCTGATGATAGTGAGGTGGAATATTTTTTAAATATTTATTTTGATATATTTTCTTTGAGAAATATCTTTCTGGTCCTTTGTTCATATTAAGTTTGGTTGTTTTCTTGGTATTGTTTAATAAGATTTCCATATATATTTTGGATATTAATCTCTTATCAGATGAATGGTTTGTAAATATTTTCTCATGACTTTCATTCATATATGTTTTTTCTTTTGTAAGTTTTTTTATGTGGTTTCATTTGTCTGTTTTTCTTTATGTTGCCTGTGCTTTCATGATTATATTGAAAAACAACTTCTCAGACCAATTACAATAAGCTTGTTTTCTAAGTTTTCTTCTAGTGGTCTTATAATCTTAGGCCTTGCATTTACTTACATAATACATTTGGACTTGATATATTAAAAAAGGGGTCCTATCTCATGTTTTTGCATGTGGTTACCCAGATTCCCTAAAACCGTTTAATGAAGAGCTTTCCCTCCAATTGTATGTTCTTTGTAGCTTTGTTGTTTAAGATTTATTAACTGTAAATATATTAATTTAGTTCTATTTTTTTCCATCATCTTTCATTGGTCTGAGTATATGTTTATGCCATCATTGCACTGGTGTGATTACTATAGCTATACAGTACATATTGAGATTAGATCGTGTGATGTCTTCACCTTTCTTATTCTTTCTTAATATTTCAATAGTAATACTCCATTTTGTATTCATAACATATTTTCTTTATCCATTTATCTGTCAAAGGACACCTAGGCTGGTTCCATAGCTTTGCTATTGTGATTTGAGCTGCTATAAACATTCATTTGGTTATGTCACTGCAGTATGCTGCTTTTGAATTCTTTAGGCATATGCCAAGGAGTGGAATATTACTCAGCCATAAAGAAGAATGAAATTATGGCATTTGCAAGTAACAGATGGAACTGGAGACTATAATGCTAGGTGAAATAAGCCAGTCCCAAGAAACCAAAGGCCAAATGTCCTCTCTGATATATGGATGTTAACATACAGTAAGGCAAAGGGGGAAGACTAGACGTGTATTGGATTAGACAAAGGGGAATAAAGGGAAGGTATGATGGGATTAGGAAAGACAGTAGAATTAACAGACAAAAGTTTCCTATGTTCATATATGAATACATGACCAGTGAATATCCACATTATGTACAAACACAAGAATGGGATCCTAATTAGGATAAAATATATTCCATGTGTATATGTCAAAAATTATCATGTATACCCAAAAAGAACAAATATATATTTATTATGAAAAAGAAAATTCAGCTGAGGGAATTAGAAAATACTTCAGTAGGGTAAAAAATGGGAGTTCATAATCCACTTGAATCAAATGTATGAAATATGATATGTCAAGAACTTTGTAATGTTTTGAACAACTAATAAAAAAATAAATAAAAAATAAAAAATACTTCAGTAGTTATTTGTGGTCTGGGGCCTGGAGACTAGGTCAACAGGAAAAGATGTGGTTCCAGGATTCACTTAAGTAGGCCTAGTTCTTGGGTATATAACAAATTGTGTGCTCATTTCACTTCCCCTAAATGAAGGGTAACATTGATCATTATGAACTGTATAGATTTGATGAAAAGAACCTGAGGATAAAGTTTAACTACCATTACTACTCTCTTCAATGCAACTTTTCTTATTTCTGTGATCAACCTGGGTATTGTAGTCTCTTAACCAGATTTCTCAAATCTTGTGAAGGCATTCTCCTGTGTGGATGGTTTTCAAATTGATGTTTACATGATGGGATAAGTACTGGAAACACCTGCTTTATCATCTTGTAACTTTATTTTCTTCCTTTATTTGTATGTTATTTCCAATAAACTCCTGTTCTCTGCAGATCTTGTGAGTGGTTTTGTCTCTTCAACCTCTCTGTACTCATTGTAATTCTATTCAAATTGTGTGATTCTTTTCATGTTCATTTTGGTAAATTTTGTATTTTGGAAACTTGTTCATTTACACAGTTACTCATAAGACTCCCTTATAAATATTTCTCTCTATTAAGGTTAGTGGTAATAATTCCTCTGTAACTTCTGATTTTTTTTTTGCAATTTGAATACTTGCCTCCTTTTCTCTTCATCAGTTTCACTAAGTTTGTCAGTTTTGTTGCTGTTTCAAGAAAAAGATTTTTTGATTGTTGTTTTTCTTTATTTTTTCTCCATTCCATTTGATTTCTTTTGACTCTAATCTTTGTAAGTTTGTTTATTTTACATTGCTTGCTTTTAATTTGTTCTTATTTTATATGTTCTTAGGAATAAGTTAACAGGTAATTGATCTATAATTTTCCTTTTTAATACATATGTTTGAAAATCAAAATTTCCTTTTGAGCACTGCTTTGGCTACATCCCTTAGGTTTTCATTTGTGGTATCTCATTTGCATTAATCTCTATGCATTTACTAATTCCCCTTTTCATTTTTTTCTTTTACTACTTGATTTAAAGACATACTTATCTACATAAATTTTTTTTAATGTTTTAATTTCCCTTCTGTTATTGGCTTCTTATTTTATCCCATTACAATTGAAGAATATATTTTATATTATTTAAATATTTTTATGTTTGTTGAGATTACTTTTATGGCTGCATATATGATATATGTTAGAGAACATTTGATTTCCACTACAGAAAAAAAAGTGTTTTTTATGATATAGGGTAACATGTTATACAGATGCCTATTCATTCAGTTGGTTTATGATTTGTAGTTTTGTTCAATTCTTCTACTTCCTTGTTGATTCTATTATTGACTGAATTTTTATCCCTGGAAAAAGCACCTGTTTTATTAAGCAGATGCTCATTGAAAAGAAGGTATTACTAATGTTTAGGAAGAATCACTGCAGGGTACGTGAGGACACTCTATCATGATGTCATAGATTGAGCCTATGAAATGAGAGATTCTAGGTTGTTTGGGAAATAATATGAGTGTTATAGGAGGAGGTCATTTCTTTGCTGCATTCTGATCCCATATTTGGAACTTTTTTTCATTTTGAAAGGTTCTCACTAGGAAGTAGTCCAGGTTTCTGTAATCAATACTTCTTGCTAGCTGTAAAATTCATGATAGGATTTTTTTTTTTTGCTTTTTTGTCTGTTGTTTTTCCTTTTAAAAAAAATTAATTTTATATTTTACACAAAGGAAACACAACTTTTCATTTCTCTGGTTGAACATTATGTAGATTCACATGATTTTTAACATTCATACCTGTGCAGAGGGTAAAATGTTCATCTCATTCCACCATCTTTCCCCCCAACACTCCCTCCTCTCCTCTCCCTCTGCTCTGCTCAATCCAAAGTTCCTCCATTCTTCACTTGCCTCCTTCTATTATGGATCAGCATACACTTATCAGAGAAAACATTTGGCCTTTGTTTTAGGGGGGATTGGCTAACTTTGCTTAGCATGATATTCTCTAACTCCATCTATTTACCTGTTAATGCCATGATTTCATTCTTCTTTAAAGTCTGAGTAATATTCCATTGTGTGTACATCCCAACATTTCTTTATCCATTCATCTATTCTGGGGTGTATTTGGCTAAAACAGCCGTGAACAGGTTGATCTCACAGTGAATGACTGACATATATTGTTAGCAAAAAACCCTTCCAAATGCCTTATATTAATGAAGAATTATCTGTTTGTGCTCTTTCAATGATTTAATGTCTTAAAATATTTTACATGCTTACCAAATTTTCAAAGCAATAAATACTTGATGGAAACATGAGATCTGGCATTGAGCTTCAACAATTCTACAAATACCTCTGTGACCCTTTGCAAGCACATAATCAATTGGGGACTTCACTTTTCCTTTTTATTAAGTGGATGGTTGATTGAATACTTTCCAGAAGCATCTACACCATTTTTATTCCCCAACTTCCACCTTATCTTATTAGTTCTTCTTATTGATTGCTCTTGAAAGCACTCTGAGATTATTCCATGGAATAGATCTAGAGGGCATGCAGATGACCATAAAACTGATTCCAAAAGAAAACTTCCTATATCTTGCAATTTGACCCATGGAGATATCAAACAGTACTAACCCCAAGCACAGCGTCATCCTGTTCCTCGCAGATCTCCATCTCATCAAATAGCCCAACTAGTGGCTTCTTCTGGGATTTAATGCTGCTGTGAATCAAAAGAAGAGTTTATTTAATTTTCCAGCATTATAGTTAACTTTATAAATTGAAATTTATTTTATTAATATTACATTTAATTGATATGTAGAATTTTGGATATCATTAAGATGTCAAACTAGAGGTTCCCAATGATCATTATCTCCTACAAGAAGGATGTAAATAGCAAATAAACAACAGTTTTGTCACAATAAAGGAGATCATTAGAGCACAATAAGGGTGCTTAAAACCCTGTGAAGCAGAGAATGAAAGGCAATGGCTTGACTCCAACAATGCTTCTTCCAAGTAAGGATCATTTGAGAACCAGGAAGAATTTCTAACTGTAGAAAAGGTAATCAGGAGTCCCAAAGCACCATCACAATGGCAAAAATAAAGCTGTAGCTTTTGCTAATGGATAACCATATAATATTCACAGGCCCTGAGAACCATTTGGAGAATTGCCTGGAGTTCATATATTTGTTCTACTGAAGACAGAAAACACATGTTCTGTGCCATACCCCTTGTCCCAAGCTGCTACTATGCTATGTCATATTGAAATTGGTGCTACTGCTGTGCTGTGTCCTGCTGTAGGAATAAGTAGACTTTATATCATTTCATCTCTGAGGCTCTGCTGTCATTGCACCATGTCTGCATACATGGTAATAATATCATTCCTAGTTAAAGTTTATATGCCTTCTAGCTTCATGTGCCCTGGATACTACTCTATCTCTACCATCCCAGTTAATGGTTTGCTTCACCACAGAGCCTAGTTCAATTAAGCAGCCACAATCCTTCCAAATATGAACCAACATAGTGAACTTCACCATGGTAAATTGGTACTATGGCTCAGAGAAGCATTCACAACCTTGGTGCTGAGCCCATGTGGCACTCAAGCCAGGAATAGGAACACCACCTAACAACAACAAAAAGAACCTAAGCCAGTGATACAAATTCCCTACGCCCAGTATGTGAACCAATATTTTACTCCAGGAGAAATGGAGCTTTAGCTCAGGGGAGCAGCTACAACCCTGGTACCCAGGCCCATATAATACTCTGCACCAAAGCCAACACACCCTGCCTAAATGACACTATAGGATTCATCTTCAGGTGAAATTCTTTCCCACTAAAAGCTGTTCCATAAAACTGGAAGAGGCATCTATTCTATCAGATGTGCAAATTTCAACATATGGACACAAGCAACATAAAAAAGCAAAGATAGAACTACCTAAACAACACAATAATTCTCCAGTAACTGACCAAGGTAAGTGAAAATTTATGTAAAGCCTGAAAATGAATTCAAAATAATTATCCTAAGGAAACTCAATGATATGTAAAAGAAAATGGATAGTTGAAACAAATCAAGTAACAGGTTCAGGTGCACTGAACAAAGAAGAAAGTATATGGGAGCAATGCTGGTTGTAGCATTGGCAGTGATTTACAAGAGGGAGGGACAACATAGAAAGAGGAACACCATGAACAGATTTGGTATGAAAAAACCTGAGATCATCAAAGAAGCCCGAACTTAACAGACACAGAGGCTATATCGTAAACTGGCCCTTGAAAAGTGCTCTGTATTTCTCAGCTGGCAAATGGAGAGCTGAGGTGGCATCCATTTTGAAGCAGCCATGCTGCAACTTGCTGCTGTGGAATCCTGGGAGATCATAGCGAACATTGCCATAGTACCCTGGCAAGCCCTGACCTTGTGGCCTAGGGTATACCTAGAAGACTATGATTAAAATGGCCACAATTCAGGTTTTACTCAGGAGGAACCAAGTCAGAAAAATGAAGAGGAGATTTTTCTCTTGAGTCTGGTGGCTTATGTGAACAGTTCAAAAATGTTGAGAATCTGAACAGGTGGGTGTTCTAAACACTCAGGTTCTCAGTCTGGGAAATAGTCTTCATGGTCAGCAGAGTGTGAGGTGGTTTGGCTTCCTTGCCCCATGAATAGAATTCCTAGGAGATTCCTTATCCAGATTCCTAGCAGAGATAAACATCTATCTGGGGCCCTAGTGGTGTGTTTACCTATATGTCCACAGCCGATACCAACAAAACCTCTAATGCCTGATTATACCCAGACTCAAGCAACCAGAATTCTCCACATATAATTCTGCAGCAGCTCAGGACCAGATGGATTCTCAGATGAATGTTTTCAGTTCTTTAAAGAAAAAATAATAATCCTCAAATCATTCCATGAAATGAAAAGTTATGTAACACTTTCAAATTTATTCTATCAAGCCTACATTTCAATCATACTAGAACCAGATAAGGACATATAAATAGATTAAGCATAAAATCACTTATTCAGCTCAATAGATGCAAATAAAGCTTTTGAAAAAAATTACCACCCATTCATGATAAAAACACTGAAGATATGAGGAAGAGAAGGAACCTACCTGAACATCAGAAAGGGTTGATACAAAAAAAAAAAAAAAAAAAAAACAACTCAACACCATACTCATAGTAAACAGGGAAAACAGAAAGCATTTACTTAAAAATCAAAATCTGGGTTAAGTCAAGGATATTCACTCACCACTCCTATTTAATATAGTTCCAGAAATTCTGGTCAGAGCAATTATGCAAGTGAATGGGGAAAACAAGAATCATAAGATGAAGTGAAATCATCAATGTTTGCAGATGACATGTTCCTATAATTAGAGGATCCAAACACTACACCAAAACACTACAAGAGCTAATAAATAAATTCACCAAAGTAGCAGGTTACAGAATCAATATAGAAAAAATCAATAGCTTTCCTATAACAATGAATTCTGCTGAGAAAAAATCAGGAAAACAATCCCATTCACCATACCCCCAAAACATTAACAAAATGCCTAGGAAAAAAACCTAACCAAGGGGGTCAAAGACCTACATGATGAAAACTATAGAACATTAAAGAAAGAAAATGAACAAAACACAAGAAGATGGAGAGAACTTTCATGTTTAAGGACAGGCAGAAAAAATCTTGTTAAAATGGCCATATTACCACAAGCCATATACAGATTGAATGAAATCCCTTTCAAAATACTAATTATATCCTTTACAGATCTAGAAAAGGCAGTCATAGAAAACACATAAAATTCATGTGGAAGGGGCTGGTGTTAGGGCTCAGTTGTAGTGCACTCGTCTGGCATGTGTAAGGCACTGGGTACGATCCTTGGCATCACAAAAAAAAATAAATAAAGGTATTGTGCCAATCTACAATTTAAAAAATATTTTAAAAACCTTCATGTGGAAGAATAAAAGACCACGAATAGCCAAAGCAATTCTACACAAAAATAGCAATGCCAGAGGCATCAAAACACCTGACTTTAAATTATAATAGAGAACTATATTAACAAAAACTGCATGGTAATGTCATGAACACAGACACAGCAAAATAATATAGAAGAGAAGACACACAGAAATTCATACAGATACAGTTATCTGATCATTGACAAAGTGGCCAACAACCTATATTACAGAAAAGAAAGCCTTTTTAAGAAGTACTGCTGGTAAAACTGGTTATCCATATCTAGAAGAATGAGTTTTTACACTCTTACCTCTCACCCTGCACAAAATTAACTCACAATGGAACAAAAATCTACGAATCAGACCAGAATCTATGTAACTCCAAAAGAAAATATAGGGTCAACACTACAACTTATAGGGACAGGCAACAACTTTCTCAATAGGAACTCAAAGCTCAAGAAGTAATATCAAGTGTTAATAAATGGGATGGAATCAAATCAAAGCATCTACACAGCAAGAAAAAAATTAGGAATGTGAAGAAAGAACCTATAAAATGGCCAAAAGTCTTTACTAGCTACTGTTCTGACAGAGAATTAATATTGGGAATACATGAACTCAAAAACCTTAACACCAAAAAATAGTCAAACCAATAAAAGGGAAAATGCAATAAATAGACACTTCTCAAAAGAATGGCCAATAAATATATGAAAAAATTAATATCATTATCAATTAAAGAAATGCAAATCAAAATGACACTGATATTTTATTTAACACCAATCATAATGGCAGTCATCAAGAATACAAACAATAAATTCAGGAAAGAATGGTGAGAGAATGGAATTGTTTTACAGTTATGGTGGGATTATAAATTAGTGCAAGCATGAGGGAAAACAGTATGGAGGTCCCACAAAATACTAGGCATGGAACCACAATATGACCCAGCCTACCCTTTCCTCAGTATTTATTCTAAAGAATTAAAGTCATGGGCTGTATTTGTAACTCAGTGGTACAGTGCTTGACTAGCTTGTATGAGGCACTGGGTTCAATGTTCAGTATTACAATGATGTCATTTTATTTGGTTTCTTTTCTGTTTTAGCTGAGTTTTTCCAATTATTTTGATAAAGAATAAAGACAAATTTCTTCTCAACTTTAAAAAATACTCAGTATCACATAAAAATAAATAAAATAAAGGTATTGTGTCCATCTACAACTATTTAAAAAACTATTTTAAAAAAGAATTAAAGGTATTAAACTATAATGATAAATGCATACCCATGTTTATAGTAGCACAATTCATAATTACCAGACTATGGAACCATCCTATGTATCCATCAACAGATACATGTATGAAGAAAATGTGGTATATATACATAATGGAGTTTTATTCAGTAATGAAGAAAATATGAGTTGTACAAAAATAGATAGCATTGAGAACATTATGTTAAGTGAAAAAGCCAAACTCAGAAGTTTGATGATTATATTTTTTTTTGTTCCATTTGTGGAAGATAGAGAAGAAAATAGAAAAGAAAGGTGGGGGTTATCGCATGGAAATGAAAGGGAAATTAGTAGAACATAGAAAAAAATACCAAGGAATTGGAGGAGGAAAATGAGGGGGAAAGCTCTGGAGAGTGACATTGACCAAATTATATTACTAGTGTGTGCATCTGTGAAAGAATTTTTTTTTATGAAAATGTCAAGCAAAGGAGAGCAAATAAGCTATGTATTCATCAGATAAAATATACCTCAAGCTGAGAATCAAGATAGTGGGAAAAGGAGGTCAACTTC